GTCAGACCCCCAAGAGCTCACTTCGGGCAGCTATGTGTGAAGATGCTGAGGGAGGAGGGACAGAGATTGGACCTCCTGACCCTTCAAGGGGCTTTCTTGCAGGAAAACGTCATAGCTTTTGGGTCAGGGATTGAAACCTATGGGTGGAGGCTGAGTCAGACATGTGCCCTTTGTCGCAGGCACCTCCCGTGTCCCGAACAAGGAGAGTTTAGGGAATGGAGGGAGGGTAGCCCCTGGTCTGGAGTCCAGGACACAATCTAGAGGATTTGAGGGATTTGGGGATCTCTCTCCCCAGGGAACCATCCAGCATGCCGGATCTGGGACAGATCCACCTGTCATCAGTGTTATGACTCTGGACAAGTCACTTAAAATCTCTAAACTTCAGTGCCATGAGCCAGGAAATATATATGGGTGATGGCACCTGCCCTGTGCATCCCATGGGGCGCTGATGGGGATCACAGGAGATGGTAGCAGATATTCTCCCTAAGCGGTAAAGCATCATGCCTATGTTTAGGCTGAAAGGTCACCTTCCACCCTCCCCTGTCCTGTAGCCATCCACGCTTCCTCTCTGGAGGCAGCCACTCCTGCATTTCTTGCTTCTTCTTCCAGATGTGTCATACTGGATCACTTACAAGGTACCAGTCATTTTCCTTCGGCACTATCTGGATTTTCTTACAGTAAGCTTTATAGCATAATGCTAGTAAGTAGGCCCCATATCACAGAACAGGGAACTGGGGACAGAGGGGTTAGGTAACTTTCCCAAGTGCGTGTGCCTTTTAGTACGATTGGATATCAGGCAGCAGACACCAGCTCCTGCGCTCTTGGTCACTGTCCTCTATACTATCTTTTCTATACTGTCTCATCGAAATGAAGTTGCATCCCCACACGTCAGTCTGCTGGGGGTGGTAAGGGCACACCACATCGCAGTAGCTCTCTTCTGAGCCCAGCTCGGACTCAGTGGGCTCCCCAGGCATGGGTAAGCAAGGAGAACGGGACTGTGACCTAGGAGTGAATGAACACACTTAGGGTCTTCTCCCAGCTGCATATCAACCTTCTCTCCATGGTGGCGTACTTTCCAGGATCGTGGTTCAGGTTATAAAAAGAGAAGGTCAAAGGGATTCAAACACAGGATTCACAAGTAAATCATCTGTGCTCCAGAAAACCTAGTGGCCGTCCCCAGCGGTGCCTCAGCAGCATCAGAATGGACTTCTGGCCAAACAACAGGGTAGCGCCAAAAATATCACCCCCACTGACTACTCCACTGAGGGTACTGTGGGTATAAAATCAGTAAGTAGATTGTAGAGGAGTGACTGTAATTTGTACAGCAGAGACTGGATGTTGGGGAGGAAGGGAGGAGCAGGGAAGGTGCACGCTCAGAGCCAGGGAGCCCCTGCCAGCTCTCAGCCACGCCTTAGTTCTGGCTGCTCAGATGATGGGTCAGATCCTTGGTCAGCAAGATACTGGACGCTTGTAGACTTCATCCACTAAGCCACCGGAGCACCCGCCCGGCAGACCCCTCTCCTAGCTAATGTTAACTGCTCATCACCCAGCTTTGGTCAGTTGAATATGAAGCTGATTCTCTGGGCAACTGTCAGGTGGCAGTTGGTTTAGAATGTCCTGGGTTCTGGGCGCCTGGGTGGCTCAGTCGGTTGGGCGGCTGCCTTCGGCTCGGGTCGTGATCCCGGAGTCCCTGGATCGAGTCCCGCATCGGGCTCCCTGCTCGGCGGGGGGTCTGCTTCTCCCTCTGACCCTCCCCCCTCTCATGTACTCGCTCTCTCTCATTCTCTCTCTCTCAAATGGATAAATAAAATCTTTAAAAAAAAAAAAGAATGTCCTGGGTTCTGAGACAGTTGGGAGTCAAGAAGACCAGTAGTCATTCCGGGTGGTCACCTGACCACCGGCAAGGCAGCAGCATCAAGTGCTGGGGGGCAAGGGAGGGGAAGATGGAGATGTGTTTGGATCACCCCACCCCCACCCCTCTCCGTCATGGGGGAAAGGCATTGTATTTTGGGTCAGGGATTGAAACGGAGAGCCAGGACTTGGGTCGGGTTTTGAGCCATTCTCTTGGGCCAACACCCCCTTAGGGGGCCAGCTGTCTCCTCGCAGCAACCTTGGGGCAGGAG